ACAAAGTCACTGTTGAATGGCTGTTCCTGAGAGATACTGTTTCACTTAACAGTAAAATAGTCGAAAGGATTTACACATTTAGTCGTTCTTGAAGTCAAACAAAGTCACTGTTGAATGGCTGTTCCTGAGAGATACTGTTTCACTTAACAGTAAAATAGTCGAAAGGATTTACACATTTAGTCGTTCTTGAAGTCAAACAAAGTCACTGTTTAAGGGCTGTTCCTGAGAGATACTGTTTCACTTAACAGTAAAATAGTCGAAAGGATTTACACATTTAGTCGTTCTTGAAGTCAAACAAAGGCACTGTTTAAGGGCTGTTCCTGAGAGATACTATTTCACTTAATAGTAAAATAGTCGAAAGGAATTACACATTTAGCTAATAAGAGTGAAAGACCTAACTCACATGTTTATACTAAAAGTGCATAGGATCCAAGTATATGAAAAAGCTTGAAAATTCTTATGTTAATAAAAAAAGGTAGAAATATAATACATGCCTGCATAATACATGCAAGTAATTTACCATGAGTTCCCATTACTACTTACATCTTGTGAAGGAACTAGTGTATTGACTTGGACGTGTGACTGAGTAATTTAATCTGAAAAAGTTGTGTTTTAATAATGTTCATCCAATCCAAAAAAACAACAACAGTATTTCCTCAAAGTATCAGTTGTTTTCAGATAAGAATAACTGCGATTTAGGTGGTATTATGTTTAATTTAATTTTTATTCCATTTATTTTTGTTTTCACTCGTGCTACAAATCCCCTCTACTTTTGTCTGACACTTGGAAAGCTTTTCAATATATTTTAATTTGGATAGCATGCTCTTTTGTTTGCTTGTATACCTTCTATATAGTTTTACAAATTATTTAAATTTCAGTTGTTTTAAAGGGGTATCTAACCATTTTCAAGGAAGAAGCTTTAAACAATTTATCCGTGTCTGACGCAGTATATATCACAACTATATCAGTCACAACTTTTCAAACATTCCACTTGTACATGTTGGATCTGTTAAATTATTTTGTTCTAGATACATAATCAAGCTGCCATAATGAACATTAAAGAAGTTAAGAGTTATCAATTAGGAAGAGCTATTTCGAAAATGTCGTATACCAAGAATAGTTTAGTTTTCTATTTAACTTCAAACAGTCTAACTGTTCAGTTAAAGATCTTTTCTCAGCATAGTTGTTGAAGACAATAATAGTGTGTATTAGATCCCAGAGACTGTTTATTATTATTTTTCCCAGAATTTAATATTGTGAAATGTCTTTTAAAAGGAAACAATCTCATCAATTTGATAATCGATTCTGTGTGAGAGTAAATTCTTAA